AGATAAATCACTCTGCTGTTTCAAAGTTAACTTATTTCCCATTACTTCATAATCTGAATACTCTGTCAAATATGTTTATATTACTGACAAAGCCCTATTTCCAAAATGAGTTCTTAGAACTTTTTTTCCAATTTTTAATACAATATTAGTTAAAATTATAAATGTTAGATTTGGGGAGAAAAAAATCCATAAATGCCTTCATGTATCTGATTATTCTCAAAGTTTTTATTTTGGTTGAATAAGTAAACTTTGGATATGGGCTCCTGCATAAATAAGTTTATTTCCTTTTTAAATAAAATATATACATCTGAAAGTAGAATTCATTTCTGACACTGACTACCTGGACTTGGGCTAAACTTCACAGGCTAAGGGTTCAGTCCTCTACAAGACTGCTCTTGCTTCAGACACGAGCTGTGCATGTTCAGGGTTCCCAGGTGAGCCTTACTTCTGACCAACTGGCCACAGATTTCAGGGTTCCCACTACTTGCTCAGGTTCAATGATTCACTGGGATGATTCAGAGAACTCAAAAAGCACCATACTTAGAGTTTTATTACAGCAAAAGGATGAAAATCAGAACCAGTCAATAGAAAGGACACATAGATGAAGGCTGGGAGGGTCCCAAACACTGGGCATCTGTGCTGTCGTCTTGTGGAACCAGGAGATATCACCATCTTGGCCCATGGATGTCCTTTGCCAGCCTGAGCTTTTGTATCCAGAGTTTTCTAGTGGGGAAGGAGTTGTTATGTAGGCATTATTAGTTGAATCACTGACCATACAGTTAAACTCAATCTCCTCTCCCCATAGGCTGGGAGGATATCAAGAGGCTGAAAGCCCCAAGCTTTTTAAATACATGGTTGGTCTTCGTGGTACAGTCATCCCCCTTCCTTAGACATCTTCTCATAAACTCACATGTAGTCTAAGAGGCCCACCATGAATAACAAAGATACTCCTGTCACTCAGGAAATTTCAGAGCTTAGAAGCTGTCTGCCAGGAATCAGAGAAACAGAACAGCCAAAGTCTTCATTATACAGCAGCATTTTAGAGTTTGCTATTAGAAATGGCCTTGATCGTGAACTACATAGGTATACTGCCTGAATCTGAATGCTCCTAGTCATTGGGTAAGCTATCAGTATTGGAAGAGCAACAGCTACAAAATCTGACAGCAATTAAAACTGATGTTGAAATTTTCTGAGAAAGTCTTTAAGTACCTAGCAGATATGAAGAGATATGTCTTCACATGTATAGGAAACAAAAAGATAAAAATAAAATTAAAATAACTGTTTATAAACAGTTATATAAACTTACCCGAATACTTCATTATGAACATTTTAGTTGCCCAGGGTTGATTCATAACCTTTCATACACTGAATATAAGAATTTTATAGGTAGAATAGTTGATTATAGGAGTTTGGATATATACATGGTACTTTAGTTTCCCCAGCTTTTCAAGTTATCAGTTCTTAATATATAATTACAAAAGAATATTCTATTCATTTTGAAACTACTTTTCAGTGACCTTTTTTCAGTATTTTCAAATCCATAAAGACCACTGTAGATAAACTTCTAGCTAAATGTCCTCATTTGCAATTGCAGTCATGTGCATATAACACATATTTAAGCAGGATAGATTTTTCAGGTCACTTTTGAGATTAATCCAGATGTTTCCAATGGAGTGCCAACAGAGCTCATTCACACAGCTGTAAATCAGAACCAACCAATATGTTCCACATGCTTTCAAAATGAATTCTTTAATCTATCAACAGTACACCTTTCAATAGCACAATATCATAATTGGGAAAGTTTTTGAAAGCTATTTTATCTGCACATTCATAATTCAAATGAATGAGGTGACTGGATGTATCTCAAAGGTCCTCTGGTTGCCACTCAAAGCCTGATAATTTTGTATTCATTTCAACCTGAAAGCAGCCATCAGGAGAGATATAGATGCAAAAACTACAATCAGATTCAGGAGTTTGATTTTTTCATGTGTCATATTCTGTGTTGAGCTACCAAGTTTTAACACCCTCATTGTGAAGTCATTTATTTTATTCCAGCATTCTCGGAAACCATAAATTGCTTCAAGATGCCAGCAGTTTATTTAGCCTTAAAACGCTTCAGATGTTTCTGTCTTTCTATCCCCCATGATCGTTTGGCGTTAATTGCCCTCAAAAATGATCCTAGTGGAGAAGGCAGGGGAATGCTTATCTGGCAGTTCACTAGCAGCATTAAGGATTTTAATTGTATGAGATAAACATGACAGGCAATTATTGAATGTTGTTACACATTAGAAAATTAAAATGGAATGCTAAGCATTATACTCTTTTGCAGTTGTGTCTTTATCTCAGTGTCTAATTTGTATCTTTCAGCAATTTAATAGATTGAGTTTTATTGGAGAGACATTTTCTGGAATACTCTATTGGAAGATCAAACATAAAAATTTTATATCTGCTTACTTAATAATACAATGTGAATGAAACTGAAGTCAGACATGACATATTTCACCAATGCCATTGTACTTCAGCAGATAAAATGGAAAGAATTTCCATTTATCTGTTACTCTGAAGTAGTGACATGAAAAATCATGTGAGTCTACTGTCAGTTATAATTACTGAATGACAAAAGGTTAGAGGTTTGTTTTTGCAGTTATTTTGATGTTTTGCAAGCCAGGAAAGGTGGTGCTAGTGGTAAAGAATCTGCTTGCCAGTGCAGATGACATAAGAGACTCAGGTTCGATCCCTGGGTCAGGATGATCCCCTGGAGGAGGGCATTGCCCACTCCAGTATTCTTGCCTGGAGAATCCCATGGACAGAGAATCCTGGCAGGCTGCAGTTCATAGAGTTGCAAAAAGTTGAATACAACTTAGCATACACACATGCACAAGGTAGGAAATGCAATTCTAGAAATATTTCAATAATTTATTACATATGAAATACTAGTGTTCTTTTACTAAAGTGGTTTTGATAATACTTGGAAATAGTTGGCTTTTTGTTATGTAATTGTCTTTTATAAACATTAAGTAATTTGGTTACTGATGACATGGGTTTGTAAGTGACTAGACATTTTTAGCTTGTCTCAAAATGAATTATATACCTAAATATAAGAACTAAAACTATAAAACTCTTGAGAAAAAAATGGGTGTTTTGACCTTTATGACCTTGGATTAGATAATGGTTTCCAGATAGGACATCAAAGCACAGAAATAAAAATAAAAATAGATTAATTGGACTTCTTTACCATTTAAACTTTTGTTCTTCAAAGAACACTAAAATAAAAGAGACATAATAAATGAGTTTTGACAAATGTATAAAGTGGAACACTCATATCCTGCTAGTGGTATTGTAAAGTGGTACAGTCACTTTGGAAAACAGTTTGGCATTTCAGTAAAAAGTTAAATAAAGAGTTATCATATGATCAAGTAGTTCCGTTCCTAGATACATACCCAAGAGAATTGAAAACTCATGTGTACAGACGCTTGTACACAAATATTCACAGCATTATTTGTAATGTACAAAGCATGGAAACTAAAATGTCCATCAACTGATGAAAGGATTAAAAGATATGATATGTCCATATAATGGAATACTGTTTAGTTATAAAAAGGAATGAGGCATGAACAAATGTCCCAACATAGAAGAATCCTGAAAACATTGTACTAAGTAAAAGAAGCCGATCATAAAGCATAATATTTGATTTCATTTTATAAAATGTTCAGAATAGGTGAATTCTTAAGAGATGCAATCTAGATTAGTGGTTGCTAGAGCACGGTAGGGGAAAATGGGAAATGGCTGCTAATAGGTATAGCAGTGGTAATGAAAATGTTCTAAAAGCAGATAGTGGTGATGGTTGCATGACACAGACTATATTAAAGACCAAAACATGAGCTGACTTTTATGATATATAAATTATGTCACAATAAAGTTTTTAAAAGTCTACCTAGAGTTCTTAATAGAAACTGTTTACATGATAGTCATTTTCAAAATGGAATCTTTGGCATTGATGTCAAATGATAAGAGCAGAGTGTTCTCTTGTTTCTGGAACATTCTCACAGGCAGAGTGTGACAGAGGATAACATTTGACTCTTGACCAGGGGAATTTTGCTTTTTTCCACTTACTTGTCTTGAGAAAAATACGGATGAATTGATAACTGTGAAGTGCCAAGTTGGTACTGGGGGAGTGGTTAAGGAAAATGCTCCCATTTCTAAGGATAAATCTGCAGACTCTTAAATTAATTGACTGTGTGATTTGATGGAATGAGTGCTAGACTAGACTAGATCCTAGCCTCATCTCTGATTGCGTGACCTTGCCCTGTCATTTCTCTCTCTGTATTTATCTTATCTGTCCAGTAAAGCATCAGTACATGCCCACTACATTTATGCTATTTTCAAGAGAATCAAATGAATACGGTATGTGAAGGTGCTTTGAAATTGACAGCACTATAATAATATGAGGCATTATTTATTTAACATCTTTCATTTTTCTTCATCAGACTTGATTTTCAGTGAAAGCGAAACATAAGGTGCTAAGTTAAATGGTTCCTTTTGAATATTGATTGAGAGGGTCTGGCTTTCTTCTTGAGGAAGAATGTTGCATGGACTCAGACACTTGAACTTATGTGACATTAGCAGATAGGATTTCATAGAAAACTGTTATAATTTTTTTAATGTATTATTCTGGCAGCATGAGAATGACATGGCAGCAGACAGGTTACTGTCAATTAAACACGAGCTGTCAGGAAGTCAGAAATGTTGGAAGATGGTGAGCATGAATCCTAAGCAGATCATATGGCAGGCGCTGTTCAGCTGTTACTTGAACAGAGTCGCTGTGTTAGGTGTCGTTTTCCTGCAGGATTTAATCTGAGTCCTTAATGACAGAGACACCGCTATATTTGCGTGTTGCTGGCAAGTCAAACGTGGACCTTCTCAATGGGCTGGAATGGTGGGCGGTAATAGCCGAGTGACATGTGGAGGAGACAGCTCTTGTCTCACTTTTGTCCGCACAGGTTACATTGAAGAGGCCTGCATCATCCCCTGCCCCTCTGACTGCAAGCTCAGTGAGTGGTCCAATTGGTCTCGCTGCAGCAGATCCTGCGGGAGCGGCGTGAAGGTTCGGTCCAAATGGCTGCGTGAAAAGCCCTATAATGGAGGGAGGCCGTGCCCCAAGCTGGATCATGTCAACCAGGTATTTGCTGCTCTTGGCAATATTGCAAAATACCTCTTAGATGCACGTTGATCTCTCTCTTTTTTTTTTTTTACCCAAAATAGAGAATGAATAATAACCCCTGAATAAGATATTTGACCCACTTTATCTTTACCATGCCTGAGTAAATTATTAAAATTACAAGTCAGATGGATGACCTCTGTATTTGCAAGAGATTTAATATACAGTATGTGTATATTTGTGCATATTAATATAATTCAATGGAAATAAACAAATGAAATCAACCTTTGAAATATTGTCAAGGTATTGAATCTGTTGTCATACAGTAATTTGAGTGTTGAGAGCAAGATTGTCTTATCTGATAAATCCATTAGACTCAGAAAAAAAATCTCAATTGCCAACCATACAAAGGAAAGTATGTATGGTGTGGGTCAAAAATTGGGAAATATATATTCTGTTTGATATTAAATATGTTAAGAAGAAAGAGAGATGAAGATGGTGTCAGAGTAACTGTATGTTATCTATCAATTTGGTGATTGGCCTTTTCAGTGTTATTTGGAACTTTCTTTGACTTTGAATACACACTTTGTTAGCAGCTATTCATAGATATTACTTGTGTTCCACTGGAAATAAAGAGTGAAATATCTAATAGGGGGAATTGTTTAATATAAGATTACTCGTTTAATGTAACATAAGATTCATCAGACAGTTATTGCCATGTTTGGCCTACATGAGAATTAACAGATAGTGAATTTCACACTAGATATGAAGATATGTGTGTGGATATTAAGATATATATTTAAGTCTCAAAAGAACCAAGTTATATGTATGAACCAAATTTAAATATGTATGTACATTTCATACACACATAGATTGTCTAATTTTAACCTTCAAATACACTGCTAACCCATATACATTTGCCTTCCCAAAATAACCTTTGTTCATCACAATGAAAGTAAATTATAGAAAAATAAAATAACTTTTGAATAAAGCAATTAAGGGCCAGGAAAGTGGAGAATTAAATTGCATAGGAAGTCTTCTAAAAGAATGTTGATTTTTCCCAAGTAAAATCGCTTAACTTGCCCTTAAATAAGTGCAACTAACAGTGACTAATATACTGCACTGCTGCCATCTACTGGTAGTTGGGTTTCTCTATCCCAGTAACTATTTCTGAAGAAGAAAGTGCGTGACCCTGATGAAACAGAATAACTGAAATGTAATGTTTATAATACAAAACAATATTTTTCTACAAGTTTTGAAATATTGAATTTCCAATAGTAAACAAATTTCAATCATTTTTATCCACGTTTTGAATAACCTCTACACATTTTCTTACCTTTAGTATGTATGTGTACAGCCAGCCAGAATTTAAAGTAAGTTTTGTTTGCCTCAGCGTCTTTTATGTAGTGAATTTAGGAAAGTTCAAACTGGCTGTGCCAAGCTGTCTTTGCTACCAAAACTTTTCCCTAAGCCACTCCTCTGTCACTCTGATAAAATCTAATGCAGAGTATGATATCTGAGTATTTGTTACCAGTCTACTGGTGGAATATTGAGACATGTACAATGGGAAAATCGAAACTGAAACAGGAAATAATCGATTTCTGAGTCTTTGAGCATAAATATTCTACATTAAAAGTAGAAACTTCTAAGGATTTATTTGTTAGTAAAATGTAAGAAAAGTAAAGAATATGCAAAGGTTTGTATAACTGAAAATTGGTGGGTTTTTTGGTGTGAATTTGTGAAAATTATAAGTCATATAGGTTTTTACTGCAGCCATACATTCCTCAATAAGCAATCCGTGATAGTTTGCCTTGAAAATGGTTTCTGAGGTTCCATTTTCCATTTGAGGAAGCAAATACTCATTTCCTCAGAAATATGGTTGAATGAATTGATTAAGATCAATCAGTCTATAAATAGCCCACTCACGGCTTGGTCCACCAGATATTTGCAGTCATATATTAATTCCCCATGATACATATTTTGAGGTCTACTCGGTTTTCTAAGATTTCTTCATCCTGCCTATCAAATCCTTTCCTGGGCTGTGCTGTTTGCAATTCATTTGTGTATCTTAATTTTAAACAATAATAAGGAGTTGGCTTTTCTATTTCAAGGTCTAAGATAAATGTCCGAGTCATTTACCAAAAAAAATACCAAAAAAGAAAATAAAACCCACCTTTTTTATATGGATAGTACTTGAAACTTAGAGCGTGAGATCTTCTCGCCAAATACACTGACATTTTAACTTGTCTCTGTTTCTTTCCCTTTTCCTCACTCCTGGTGAACCCTGCTCCAGGCCCAGGTAAGAACTGCTAAACTTCATGGTTCATGATAGGGTGCTGTTGGTTTCCATTTTACTCCTGGTATCAGAGAATGTATTCTTCTTATCTTTTACACAAAAGAAGTCATAGTTTTCATAAACTTTTCTTCTGCAGCTGTTCCTTTTTTTCCCCTAATGTGTTACATGTGTTTTCTCGTTTTAAAATCAGGGCCTAAGGTACGGGGATAGGGGAGAACAAGCTTAAATCACTCGCCTTGAGAGGCAGTGACATCTCCTGTCTCATGCTTCTCAGAAAGTGAGCGAGAGGAGTAGGTGGGCTCCAGGTGGTTGCGGGAGGCCGCTCTGAACTGATTTGTATTCTCTCCAGCGTAGGAGATTAAAATGAAAGCCGTCAAAGGACTAGGAAAGAGGGCATTTCCCCTTCAATCATTCTCCACATTCTCCACATTCAATCATTCTCCACATTCAATCATTCTCCACAACATGTGGGGTAATGTTTTACTAAATACTAAAATAGTATTTAGTCATATTTTAATACAGAATGCAACGTGAAGGTGATCACTTATGACAGTAATTACAGATTCTTACTCCAACAGTGCATGCTTTTTTCCTATGTGTAGTAGGTCAACTTTATTCACTTTACAGGAATGTTTAGTAAAATGAAAATTTGCACAAAGAATGGTTCCAATGGACTATTTAAATCTGTATTTTCTGGAATTGAATAACTGTGTAAAATATTCACCTATTATTGTGTATGGATGGGTATGTATAAAGTAGGAAATAGAGTTGAATTATCATAGATTTTGAAATAATTTTAAGAGGCATTTTTCTTTAATGATTGAATCAGCTCTGTTGCAGTGGATTAAAGTCCTTTTTTTTCTTTTTTTCATTGATTTACTCCATTCTCTCTCACTGAGAAAAGACTATAGTTGGTTCATTGTGCTAAAAATCCTGAAACCAACCAACGACACCACTGCAAACCTGGACCTGCAAGCTTGAATGGGCACCAGAGCACCGACAATTTGCTTTATCCCATGTGGCTCTCACTGCTTTGTAGCTGTGTAATATGAGACCAGTTTCAGACCTTACTTCCAAACCCTAAATGATTTAAGATAACTTTATTTAAGATAGCTGAATTTCATATTATTTATCTTTTAATTTCCTATATGGAACATGAAAAACTTCTTACTGGCATACATACTTATTTGGAAAATGGGCCAAATTATATTTATTTTAAAATAGCTACTTTTATTGGAGAAGGAAATGGCAACCCACTCCTGTGTTCTTGCCTGGAGCATCCCAGGGATGGGGGAGCCTGGTGGGCTGCCATCTATGGGGTCACACAGAGTCAGACAGGACTGAAGTGACTTAGCAGCAGCAGCAGCTACTTTTATATGCTGTGTTCTTACTGTTGTTCAGTCGCTAAATCGCATCCAACTCTTTGTGACCCCCTGGACGGCCCAATGCCAGGCTCCCGTGTCCTCCAGCATCTCACAGAGTTTGCTCACATTCATGCCCGTTGAGTCAGTGATGCCATCTAACCATCTCATCCTCTGCCGCCCTCTTCTCCTACTGCCTTTCAGTCTTTCCCACAGCATCAGGGTCTTTTCCAGTGAGTCAGTTCTTTGTATCAGGTGGCTAAAATATTGGAGTTTCAGCTTCAGCATCAGTCCTTCCAGTGAATATTCAGGGTTGATTTCCTTTAGGGTTGACTGATTTGATCTTCTTGCGGTCCAAGGAACTCTCAAGAGTCTTCTCCCAAACCACAGTTTCAAAAGTGTTGTTATGTGCTTACGTAATTACTTAAAAATTAATGCCAATTCTTCTATTCATTTATTCATCTTACTCAACAAATCTCTATAGAATGCCTCACATGTGAACACCCCGGGCTAAGTACTGAAGACACAGGAAACTCTGAACAGGAGGCCTGGCCCAGGAAGTTATAATACCGTGTGGTAAGGGTCAGTGCAGGAAAGTATGAGTGTGTCTGATGTGGTCCATGAGGTCTGACCTCCAGCCACAGTGGGATAGCAGATCAGCACATCACAACAGGGCTAGCCCTGCCTGCCCTTCACTGCTGCAACTCGACCTCTCACGAGGGCCTCCATTTCCTGTTTTAGGACGATGAACAGTAAAAGAGAGGCTGGTGTAAAAGTGAAATATCATGATTACTGCAGTGTGAGGTCATTGAGGCCCGTGTGTTTCAGGTGTATGAGGTCGTCCCTTGCCACAGTGACTGCAGCCAGTACGTGTGGGTCACAGAGCCGTGGAGCATCTGCAAAGTGACCTTTGCGAACACGCGGGACAACTGCGGAGAGGGGGTGCAGACCCGAAAAGTGAGGTAAGGCCAAGTAGGGAAGCCAGGGTGCCGGCGCCCCCCCCGAGTTCTCGTGTGCCAGCCTGAACCTGCCCACCCCACAGGTCTCCTGAGCGAGATTGTCCACAGCTTCACTTTTAGGGAGTCTTGGGTTCATGGAAAGCTCTGAGAGCATCTGCTTCCAGCAGCGGTTTTGTCACCTCCGCCTTCTGATTTTTGGAAGTTTTGCTTCACCGTGCTCTTGCCAGGAAAAAGCTCTGTAGTGAATGTGAGCTGGACTAAATGCAGATTTTCCAACCCCAATCAGTTCTTCCTTAAAGGTCAACTGTATTTCTAACCATAGTTCAGTGATAATCTTTTATAAACTCTTTATCCTTAGCATCAAACTGTCTACCTTTTGGATACTCCCATTGCCCTGGGAAGCCTTCACTAAAACCCCTGGCTGGCTAATGCCACTCATGTTATCTGTGCCCAGTGGCCAGTAGGGTAGCCACTCACCACGTGTGGCTATTTCACTTGAAATCTAAACTAATGAAAATTAAATAAAATGCATTTCCTCAGCCACACTAGACCCATGCTAAGTGCTCCATAGTCGGAGGGGGCTAGTGGCTATTCTTTGAGACAGCACAGTATTTTTCCATTGTCATAGAAAGTATGATATCCTTGTATACTACTGAGCAGCCTTGTTCTCTAATGCCCCACATACCTCTTAGTGTTTGAAAGATCCATCTACATGTCTGTCCCCTTTATTAGATGCTCTCTCTCCAAACTGAGACCCTGTCGTACTCGTAGAAATTCTCTAAAACCCAATACAATTGAAATATTGTAAAAAATGTAGTTTAGTTGCTAAGTTGTCTCTGCCACTTGTGACCCCATGGACTGTAGCCCACCAGGCTCCTCTGTCCATGAGATCTTCCAGGCAAGAATACTGGAGTGGGTAGCCATTCCCTGCTCCAGGGGATCTTCCCAACCCAGGAGTTGAACCCGGGTCTCCTGCATTGCAGACAGATTCTTTACTGACTGAGCTACAAGGGAAACCCGTAATAAGTGTAATACAATTAAATTAACTCATTAAATTATACCTAAAGCATCTGCATATGCTTCTTAAGGGTCTCAAACCTGGGAAATCAGTATATGAGGCTTTATTATCTCCACTTTTAAGAGAAGGTTCAGAAGTGCTAGGTAATTAATGTGCCTAAGCAGACAGTGAGTAAAGTGACATAGTTGCATTGAAACTCAAATGTTTTTTCACTCTTCATGAATTTAATATGACTGTTTGTTTATCTGTTTCAGTAGGAAAGTAGAGCAAATTAATGTTTATATCATAAAACCTTGGGATTCTGTCTAAAACATTGGCTCTGATAAAAATCATATCTATCTCTTTTTTTAAACCTCACTCATCTTAACTCTCAAGTTATTTTTCTGAGTATTAAAAAGTGGATGAGATGGAGGGTGGAGGAAATTAGTTAATAGGGAAACAGAGAAGAAAAAGATACTCTGTTTTCTACCACTCTTCTGTCAAATTTAAATTTTATCTTTAAAATATAAAAGTATTTTCTTTATATTAAAAATTTGATAAAGTTTGGTTTTTTTTAATACAAAAATGACAGTAGCTTCTTTCAGCTTTCCCTCTGGCTGTCTGTTTATATATGTTGCTTCTGTTTACTTTCCAAATGGCTATTGTCAACATTTTCAAACACATCTTAAACAAAGTAACTTTTAAGGTCAACTTATTTTTTCAGTAAACATTTTTAATGTAAATAGAGAATTGATGAGAATTTCCTATCATGTAATAATGTTCCTTAAGGTTAAATGTCATGGTAGATGCAACCACTGGGTGACATTTCGGGAGAAATACATCTATAAGATAAGAAAGTGTGAAAGTGAAAGTCACTCAGTCATGTCTGACTCTCTGTGACCCCGTGGACTATACAGCCCATGGAATTCTCCAGGCCAAAACACTGGAATGGGTAGCATTTCCCTTCTCCAGGGGATCTTTCAGACCCAGGAATCAAACTGGGGTCTCCTGCATTGCAGGCGGATTCTTTACCAGCTGAGCTGCTAAGGTGGCGTGACATTGCAGAGACTGAGGAATAGTAGCAATTTGCCCTGGTGAGACAGAATATTTTTTCATTGACATTTTTCTAAAATTTCCAGCACATGATGATAATAAGAACCAGTCAGATTTGGTTATTTCTGTTACTTTTGAAATCTCTACCCCTTTACTGCGAGTACCTGGCTCCACCCTTGGCCCCAGTTTGATTCTAGACTCTGTTTTCTAAAACAGTTTGATATTCTCACAGCATAATCCCTTCTCTTATGGAATGGAAAAAGTCCAGGCATTTGAAGAAAGCAAATGAACTCAAAGTGCCTTCCTTTGGGCTCAAGACTTGATCCAAATAGTTTTTCTGTATTGCACAGTGCTAAATGGTGGTGGTGGGACTAAACCACTATCACCATTCTAGAGTGATAAAAATATCATTAATATAAAATCAAATAAATAAAACTTACAAATAATCTGAATGTCAGCAAGAAGGGTTTATAGCAGTTGTGGCACATTTAAATGCTGAAATTGCAAAATTCAAATGTATTCATTAAAAAGTATGTCTTAAAAAAACAGTTAATAACACGAGATGTTTATCGTATATTATTGATGTTTTTCCTAAATGGTGCAAATAGTAGGTAAAGTTTATTCCTATTTAATGAAATGAAAATATATGTTTAAATACAGTAGTCTGCTAAGAGTGGTTCTCTCTGATATAATGTAGTGAATTTTTTATTGTTTCTTCTGATTTTCCTAAAATGAATTTATTACTTGTATAATAAAAACTGAAGGAAAAGAAAAGGCTTTGAAAATAAAGTTTTATGTACATAAGTACTTAATAGAGTATTGAACATCTGTCCCTAACTCTGGATCAATAGGTAATTTTGCAAGTTAATCCTTGTACATCATGTCAGAGCCTAACATGAATGCAATCTTTTCTTAGCAGCAAATCCAACTTTGGAGATTTAACTGTCCTGTCTGTTCCATGTCCTCTCAGAGCTACTGTCAACAGAGCATTTTAAAAATGCCAGTGAAGCTAGAAATTTTTTCCTAGGACACTAAAATTCTCTCCCCAAAATGTATAATTTATTTTTTTTCCTTCAACAATGAAATTACAAAAACATCTACATTTGCATGTTTTTTGCGATTCGTTTTTATTTTTTTAATTTATCTTTAATTGAAGGATAATTGCTTTACAGTATTGTGTTGGTTTCTGCCAAACATCAACATGAGTGATTTCTTTTTATATTTATATTCAGCATACAAAAAAATGCAGAGTTGGGTATCTGTGTGGATATTTTTTCAGGTTATAAACCCAGTTAAGATGAAACCAACAGCATAGTTTTCCAGTTTTTGATGCATCCCACAGGAAACCCACATTTCTCTTAAAATCAGCAGCACTGTATGGAAAGGTGATTCTGCAGAGTAGAACTGTCAAGATGCAATCTCCCTACTGATTGTAAATCCCTGAGAAAAATTGAGATTCCAGGTATAATTGGTAATATAATGCAAAACAGAAAAAGAGACAGAGATGTACTGAACAGACTTTTGGACTCTGTGGAAGGAGGTGAGGGTGGGATGTTTAGAGAGAACAGCATCGAAACATGTATATTATCAATTGTGAAACAGATCACCAGCCCAGGTTGGATGCATGAGACAAGTGCTCGGGCCTGGTGCACTGGGAAGACCCAGAGGGATCGGGTGGAGAGGGAGGTGGGAGGGGGGATCGGGATGGGGAATACATGTAAATCCATGGCTGATTCATGTCAATCTATGACAAAAACCACTACAATATTGTAAAGTAATTAGCCTCCAACTAATAAAAATAAATGGAAAAAATAAATAAATAAAACATTGCAGTGGGTTTGAGAGGCTTAAGAGCCCAAGCCTTCCTCTTCATCTCCTACAATGCAGTTCTCTTCCCAAACCTGTTAGTTTGGTTGACCTTCTCTGAGTCACAAATGAGGGATAAAGTTTTTGTCTTCTGTTAGAAAAGTGCCTGGAGAGATTAACTATAGTAAAAAGCAAAGTCCAATAGTAGCCACTTTAATTAGATTCCCAAGAGATGAGTTAAAGAGCCCTTTATGACTGCTCACAACACAATGAAATGTAATGAAATGTTTGGATTTATTCTGTTAAAAGAAAGCTAACAATAAAAAAGGTCAAGTTATAGGAAGATCCCAGCAAACCCCATTTAGAGAAGTCGTGCTATTACTCTAATGATTGTCTCTCACTTGTGGCTTTCTTTTAAGGTTATCAGCAAATGGGGAGCTAAAATTGCCTGTTAAATGACAAAATAACTTGATAAATATCATCAGTTACTTTCAAAAGCAGTTAATGAAACCTCTCCCTAGGAGATATCAATGTGCCTTGACTTCCATCATATGTGAATCTACCTTCTCTGTGGAATCCACTATTTTCTTGAAAGGGAAAAAATGCATTATATTCCAAAATCGCAACCCATCTCTGAATATCTTTGGCCAATGCTTCAGTTTCTGCATGATATTAGGTGTAAATAAATGACTCTCTCCTTTCAGAGGAAGACACATACAGTTTGTATATACAGAGTATATACACATAGTGGCTACAATTTAAAAGATGATAATGATACATGCAAGCAGAGATTTTTAAGTCATACTGAAGGGCTCCAACTATTTATGGGAGGCAGAGATCTTCTATGTCTTTATATTTGGAGAATTTTATTTAATAAATGCCAAGCTCCCCATCCCCTGCCTCCATGGTGATGTCTTAAGAGAAACTTTGACCCCTGTGGGTTGGCCATTGTTTGATTGTTCAAATTCCTTCACTGATAGACATGTTTTCTTCTAGATGTATGCAGAACACAGCGGATGGCCCCTCTGACCAAGTAGAAGATTACCTCTGTGACCCAGAAGAGATGCCTCTGGGCTCTCGAGAGTGCAAACTGCCATGTCCTGAGGATTGTGTGGTATCCGAATGGGGTCCGTGGACCCGATGCTCTTTGGTGAGACAATTAACCATTTGTTAATGTCGAACTTGCTTAATTCCTTACCACTAAAGCTTTTAAACTACTACTAAGGAAATGAAACTTGGTTACTGAATTAGTTACCAAAACAAGGTGTGCTGTTGGCTACTTCATTCTTACGAATGTGCCATTTAAAATCAACAGTGTTTAGACTCATCCCAGCACAGCTTAGCCTCTTGCAAACTTTATACTCCTTCACCATCCTCCTAATCCTAGCACAAAAATGCCTTTAGATTTATGAATACACAGCATGTTAAAAACTGCAGTAGTGATAATGATTCCCTCCAGGTAAAGAGATAAAGAATGAGACTCTAGTAAAAGTACTTTCCTAGTGTCAAGTTGTTATCATCCCTTGCTTTTTGCCCAGTCCATTTTATTTAAGTCGTAGGAGTAATCTTTCACACCGTGGGGGTCTGACAGCAGGAGTACTGACACTAAAACTCAAAAGATCCTGGTAAGGAAGAGAGTAGAAAGAAGAAAGCTGGGCATCAGTGAATCTCTTTCCACGCACTGCCTCTGAGCCTCTTTGGATCTGGAAAGCCAGCTTAAAGTTTCAAATTGCACAGAGCTTCTAGATTTCAGCAGCCCGTGGGGCACTTCCATGGGCCCTGGGGAGGAGAGTCACTTGCAACAGGACTGGCTGATGATGTAGGAAATTTGGCTTACCCTGGGCACATTTGTAAAGCTGCACACTCAATGTGGCATCAAAAGCATGGAAAAGATATTTAATGTGTAATTTATTTGCTGAAATATAATATGGGACAGATATATGTTTTCAAGGAGAAATTAATTTTCTGTTCCAGTGTTAACATTATTAAAGATGCTGATTAGCAGCCAACCGATAGAGCAGGAGCAAAACAGGGATGGCATTTGACTTGGATACAGAATAAACTGCAGTAAAGAATCAGCTGTTTCACAAGGGTATGCAAATGATTTTGTATTCTAATTTCATAGCATCAGGTTTGAAGACACTGTTTCTGCTCTTAATAACCAAATGTTTCCAAAACAAGACTGTACCAGCAGGAGAATGGCAGCCAGTTTTTTTAAATTAGTGCTACCTTATATTTGTGTGTATGCACGTGTGCACATTAGGAAAATATTAATAGCTGTTTTTCCATGGACAGAGGAGCCTGGTGGGCTGCAGTCCATGGCATCGCAGAGTCAAACACAACTGATCACCTAACACACACACATACACACAAACTTAATTTTTCAGGTCCAAGAAAATACATTATAAGTTCTATGACCTACGGTAAAATTTGTGACCTACATTAATTAGTATGAGCATATATGTTTGTGTATGGATGATGTGATGTATCTATTAATATTTGACACATAGACTCTTTTTCTAATCCCAGTTTTACTGAGAGATAATCAATAGACATGTTTAAGGCAGACAGCATGAGGGTTTGATTTACATATATTGTGAAACGATTACCACAGTAGTTTCAGCTAGCATCCATCTTCTCAAATAAGTATGTTAAAAAGAAGAAAAGAATAAAGGGGGAGAAAAATACTCTGCTTGTGATGAGAACTGTTAAGATTAACTCTGTTAACAACTTTGCTATATAACATACAGCAGTGTTAGCTACAGTCGTCATGTTGAACTTGATGTAGTTCAAGTGGTAGGGATATATCCCGACTACTTACTGTCTTAGAGCTGGAAATGTGTACCGTTGACCACTTTCCTGCAGTTCTCCCTCCCCCCTACCCCTACTTCTGTTAACTGCAAGTCTGATCTTTCTCTGAGTTTTGTTTTGTTTTAGATACCACGTGTAAGTGAGAGCATACGGTATTTGTCTCTGACACTTCGCTTAGCATAATGCCGTTGAGGTCCATCCATATTGTCACCAATTGTAGACATCCTCATTTTTTATGGCTGAATAATATTCCGTTGTATAATTATACTACACCTTATCTATCCATCGATGGACATTTTGGTTTTTTCTGTATCTTGGCTATTGTAAATAATGCTGCAGTAAACATAGGGGAGCAGATATATTTTCAGGTTAGACACATAGACTCTTAAGTATTGTCAACTGAAGAAAAAGACACAGCCTCAAAGTTGCCAGTTAAGTTTTCTTTATTTGGAGATCTCACAGAGGACAATGGCCTGGGAGACGGCCTTTTAGGTAGCTCTGAGGAACTGCTCCAAAGAGGTAGAAGAGGAGCCTGAATAAGCAGGAGTTTTTTGCTGGGAAAAAAACATGTAGTCAAAGATCAAAAGAGTACTGCTCATCAGTAAAACAGGAATCTCTACTTAGTGATTTTAGTGCTTTCCTGTGTGTAGGAATATGCAGGAATCTGGGCTCACTGAAATTATTCCTTAGACATGTATCCTAACCATCTCAGGGCAGTATCCAAAGCACAGAACGGTGCCTCTTTTTCTCGATCCTGTTTGCCTCAGGGCACATCACCTGCAGCAGCTTCAGTGGTGATGGTTTGGTCCTTGTGGGACAGGGACAGTGGGGACATTCTCTGTCTGCTGGAATGGCAGGCAGCATCCCCTGTCCACAGCATCTTAGAGCCAGATGGCACATCAGAAACTCATCCCACACCTGGCCTTACAGATGAGACTGTTGAAGTTAGCCAGTGGCCCAAATGTTCCAACTCTTGCTCCAGTGCGTTCCTTAATACATTAGCTCTTGTGTGGCCACGTAGTCACCTTTCTGAGGAGTTATGTTATTCTCTGTCAGCCTTGCAATCAAAGCAGTTTCCGGCAAAGGTCAGCTGATCCCATCAGACAACCAGCCGAGGAAGGAAGAGCCTGCCCTGACACTGTGGAGAAGGAACCCTGCAACCTGAACAAAAACTGCTTCCATTATGATTATAATGTAACAGGTATGTGAGTAGCCTTCACCTTATAAAGGCCAAATTCCATGTCAGTCAGCTTAGCAGCATTCCCAGAATGTGGATGATTCACCTCCATTACATGTCTTTTGGACATGCTGCTTGGTGATTTAGTCACTAAGTCATGTCTGACTCTTGTGACCCCATGGACTGTAGCTTGCCAGGCTCCTCTGTCCATGGGATTTTCCAGGCAAGAATACTGGAGTGGGCTGCCATTTCCTTCTCCAGGGGATCTTCCTGACCCAGGGATCGAACCCACATCTCCTGCATTACAGGCAGATTCTTTACCTCCTGAGTCACCAGGAAACCCATACACACTGTTTACTCCCCCAGAAGCAATTCTGTATTAAATGAAATAAATATTTATCTGTCTTATTGTTAATAAACATCAAGATAGAGAATGAAAATATCACACAGACATTAGCTCTTAAGGCAGATTGTGAATAGTCTAAGTGTTCCTATGTAAGACATCCTCCCACTTTCAGAAGGTGGAAATAAACATCTTTTCCATGGATATCAGTTTATTGAAAGATGCCTTTCTTCTTCAGAATATGTTTAATCATTATAAGTACTGGGACAGCAATTCTTTGTGTGGGGGCAGTTCATATGCATGATTAGTCTGATGTAAAAAGCATTTGCAGTCTTAACCTTCCAAATAGTGTATGAAGATAACTTTTTAGTGTTATCAAAGGTATAGGTAAAAAAAGATGATTTTTTTAGAAGAAAAAAAGGCTTATCATAAATTCTGTTTTTCCCCAAACCCTCGTCTCATATGTCATCAAGGCATATACTCTAGGAAAGAAGAGGTTTTTTTGGCTTATATGACTTGGGGCAACACTGAAGCTTATTTTGGAATTTTCCCCCATGTAATTTTCACGCTGAAATAAACCCCAGAAACTATGCTATGACACATAGCAGTCAGCTTGATTTTTTGTTTTTTTTTTTTGTTTTTCTCTTCAATTTGCTTTTGTGACACAATGAATCACAGTTCTCTGGGACAGGCTACATTACCCTGAGAAGAAAGATAAAGAATCACCTTGCAAAAGATATTTAATAAGAGAAATGAATATGGCCAAGCTGGTTTTGAAATAAATAATACATTTTACAATATTCTGAGTATGGACAGCAAGTGAAATAGTTTTATTGGCTATAACTACACAAAATGCCAGCCATTAAAATTATGATTATTTTGCTAAAACAAAAATGTTGACATTTACATTTTTACTTTCATTAGGATAAACAGTTTCTAAGTGACATTTCACCTGCAGGCCACAGCCATTTTTATAGCATCACCAAACGACTAGCCATCAAGATGGTCAAGGAGACAGCTGCCTCAGGAATAACCCCTGCAGCTGTGTGCAGCCCAGCAATTCCATTTGACTCCTGATACGTTTAAAGCTGGGACCCATATGCTCTGCATGTGGGGTGATTGATGGTGGGGCTTAGGAAGCAGTTGTGAATTAAATACGGGATTCAGGTCATCCGAGTTTCACTGGAAATCTGTTTGGTACCCAGCCTTCTGTTCAGATGCGCTCCTTCCCTTTCAGACTGGAGCACGTGTCAGCTGAGCGAGAAGGCAGTGTGTGGGAATGGCATTAAAACAAGGATGTTGGATTGTGTTCGAAGTGACGGCAAGTCGGTTAACCTGAAATACTGTGAAGAGGTGAGGGGAGGCTGTGTTATATCTTTGTGAGTAAATTCTTCCCGAATGGTCTCAATTCATGCTGTGCCAAGTGACCGGTGCTTTATGCAGCTCTTTGCCAGCAGATGTTTTCTGCTAAACACCCTCTTGAAAAGAGACTCTTTCCAGCACTACTGATTTCTACACATAATTTCCTGTATTTTGTTCTGCTAGCAGCCCAAAGGTATGCTAATTAGCCCATTCCAAAAGAAATGCTTGGGTAACAATAAGTAATCAAGGTGAATAAAGGCAATAAATCTTAATCAGACTACTCATCATCTTTTGTCATTTCATATGAGTTTTGTGTTGCCTGGGACACCTGCCAAGAGCCGTCATTTATTCTCTCTGTTGCAAAACATTGATCGCATGTGGTTTGGTAGCAGATTTTGATATTAGGATCTAATACCCAGCTGTGAGAGTCTGAGTCAGGTCTGGGGAAGAGAGAGCTTGAGATCTAAACAAAGGGATGGAGTCTGCCGTTAGTATCTTCTGGGTACAGAGAACTGTAACTGTTAATTCTCCAGTTTACAAAAATGATGTTATCTTTTCTAATATGACCTTATGAAATGTGAGGAAACGTAGTCATAGTTTTCATGAAGCTGTACTTCAGGTTACGATAATTTTGTCTAATTTCCAGATGAAAAGGGTACTCATCTTCCTGACAGGTTTTGACTCCTCCTGAACTAAGGCCCAGTGGGTTCAACATGAACCAAGACAAGCTGGAGCCTCCGTAGACCTGGAACACCCAGGCAGGGGCTTGTAACCTCGTAGGGCTCAGGGGACATGTGACCACAACCTCTGTCTGCCTGTCCTAGAGGTTACTATAAGCCTATGGTAAATCATTCCAAATCTTAAGGGAAAACTCAAGATGGAAATATTTTAATCCATTTGATATCTTTGATATTATCATATAGACCTAATTTAACTTTCTATATATCTGTCCATAGGAACAGAGCTCCCAAATGCACTGAAAACAAATTTAGTTAATAAATTCCTCTATCTGACAACATAATTCAGCCAATTATGGCCTTAGCTTTAATCAGAAATTTCATACCTGAATCAATTTGACTTTGAAACTAACACCATCGAAGTAATGTGACCACACAAAAATACAAAAATAACATTATTAGTGAGCATTATTTTTACAGTTATACACACAGGCTGGAGAGCATCCTGTGATCTGCCTCTCACATGAGTCTCTTTTTTTTGTTTTTGCAAATGCACATGCAAATGCCCTTCTAGGCCAGAATAAAACAACAATGAATAGTTCTGAGAGCTTTCAGAAAGCTTAACCCGAATCATAGAAGTTGTTGTGTCACTAAGTCGTGTCCGACTCCCTTACATAATCACACGAGACCAGTGTTTAAGTAATCACACGAGACCAGTGTTTAAGTATCTCATATGACTCCAGAAGAAAGATATAAATAAAGTCTTTATTTCTGAAATGTGAGTAAAAGTCTGAGAAATAATTTTCGTTATGCAGAAGTCTGGATAAATTTACTTTTATGTACAAATATTATCATGTTTGAATACTATGATGACAATTAGGGATTCAAATTTTAGCACACACTGTATTCAGGGAGAACAGTGCTCCTGGCTCAGGAATTGGACTAACCAATTCATATCCCATTTTATCCACCCTATGGAAGCAGTAGAATTAAATAATAGCCCTGAGGAAAGCTGGCCGTCTTTTCTAACAGTGGGTTGGTTGCCTACCTACTAATACACGTGCAGACCCTTCATTCAGTACAGCAGCAGTCTCTCACTCTTGCTGTTCCTCTAACCGCCAAAAAGAAAGATGGTACTACTGTCCAACAAAGAGGAAAATCAGGGTTAAACCCGTCCAGCATTTATACAGCACTTCTGTCTTTGATGTTTCTCAGACATTAATTTACCTGATACCTAATAATTTGGTTTCTCCTTTCCTTGTCTTTGATCCCTGAACATATGTTTAGATAAATGATAGATTAGATAGGTGACAGAGGAGAAAGAAGATACAATTAAGAAACACTATATTATAAAGCAACTGTACTCCAATAAACATGGAGTAATAAAAGAATTAAGAGAATAAGTAATACAGGGTTAAAATATCTTACTGTTAGATACCCAAAATGTTTGTAAACAGACATCCTTTTTAATCCCCTAGTGAAATAAATAAGCCAATAGTAATTGAATTCTGTGATTCAAATCCTTTCTCCATGAAACCATCATGTACCTTAAAAGCAAAACATCATTTTTATCATATCACCTTAAGATTTCCATCTCTAATCTCCACTTACTTCAAGTGATTTTATGAGACTTAAGTGATATGGTAAAAGTTTTCATACCAAATGCTCAGCTTTGTCAAGTACTACTGGTGGAGAACATAACAGGAGTGCCTGCTGAGGCTTCTGGTGCGCACATCACCGACCTGATCCTCTCCCGGTGCATAACTTGGAGCCGGGAGCGCTGCTTGAACCGCAACATAGCATTTCAGAAAAGTTTTCTTTTGCCATTTTCTGCTATATAGATTAGACACTGTAAGCTTATCTTTCATGTAGAAACAAAAAAGTTCTTAAAAATCCCCAAGGATTGCCAATTTGAAAAATTGCACTTTCCTAACCTGCTCTTAATTTTTTCTGTCTCAGTGCTACTTTGCACCTTAGACTTTTAACATGTGTACATACACAGTGGATAAAATCTCATCCTATATTATAAAGGTTAGAATACTTAAGCAATGCAACTGAATGCAATAAAATACACATTATTATGTGATAAGAGGCTAATGCCAAAATAACAATTACACCACCATTGGCTGCTGAGTTTTAAAAGAGAAAATATCTGTTTAAAAAAATTTAATAAATATATATATAATATTTGTAATAAAAATTCTAAAGGTCCACTCCTCCTTTTGAGAGAGGTAGCTTATTCAAAACTGTTTTATATTATGTTAGTACATTATATTTTGGGATTTGAGTGGCAACCGGTCTTTTAACTTTTCTCCTTTGCTTTTCAGTTTGACATCCACATGTAAAAATAATATCCCCCAAATGCAATTATATGTCTGTATATTGATGATAGTCTTGGTGTTTAACTAGTAGAAAATATTTGTGCTTACACCTATTTATTCCTCCTTTAGGGAAATTCAACCAATATGGAGATTAAATCTTCCTTTTTTTCATTTTTTATTTAAAAAGGTCAATAATATATAAGTATATTACATAAACTTGCTTCTCCATTCATCCTATTCCTTTTGCCTCACCTCTCCTGGAGTGAACCACTTTATATTTTTAATAGTTTGGGCCTTTGTCCTGCAGACATGTTTTTACTTTATTATGCATCTTGCTTATTCTTCCTCTCCTCTCCTCCCCACTCCTGTCTTGCCCTTCCTCCTACCCTCTTCCATCAACACTATACCATGGTCATGCCTCGGCATCAATACAAACAGATCTACCTCTGTCCTTTCAGCTTGGCTTGGAGAAGACCTGGCAGATGAACACGTCCTGCATGGTGGAATGTCCTGTGAACTGTCAGCTTTCTGACTGGTCTCCGTGGTCAGAATGTTCTCAAACGTGTGGCCTCACAGGTTTGTTTGTGCCTTATTTGGCATTTGATTAACAGTCAAGGAGTACAAAATAAAACGTCCCTCTTACTTTAAGTCACATCAGACAATCTTCAGAAAGGTTGAATCAAGGTATATTTCTTTCCAAAACATCTAAACCTTTCTTGTTCCTCAAATCTCAGGAGAAATGTCTTTGACCCCTTCTCTGAGAAAGATACATGCCTGATAACATAGCATATGACTAACAGTGCATCACGTTGTATCTTTTAAGGAAAAATGATCCGAAGACGAACAGTGACCCAGCCCTTTCAGGGTGATGGAAGACCATGCCCTGCCTTGATGGAACAGTCCAAGCCTTGCCCAGTGAAGCCCTGTTATCAGTGGCGGTATGGCCCATGGTCTGCATGCCAAGTGCAGGTAATCAGTCTCAAGAAGTGGTATGGAAATGTGTATTCTTTATCTGCAGAGACTTGGTTTTAGAAATCCCTCTCAGAGCTTATAGATGGCATGTTTCTTGTTAGAGATTTTAGTACCTTGCCATTTCATAGCTGTTTAATTAGTTTTGATAACAAGCACTTCCTGTCCCGTATTTTAAAACCATTTGGAGACTGATCCATTTTAATGAAAATTTATTTGCCTGTCTTCGGCTAGAAAACAAATAAATTGTTCATGGTATGCTTTATAGCTAGTGCCCTACAGGACTTCTTCCCTAGGGTTTCAGATGCTCCTTAAACTGCTCATAAATCATAATCAGCAGTGCAGAGATGACTGTTGAGCGATAAGCTAACTAATGAATTATTTTCTTTCCTGATTAGTCATTTCTTCCTCCATTTCAGGATGCACAGTGTGGCGAAGGGACCAGAACAAGGAATATTTCTTGTGTAGTGAGTGATGGGTCAGCTGACGATTTCAGCAAAGTGGTGGATGAAGAATTCTGCACTGATATTGAACCCACTCTAGATGGTAATAAAAAAGTGGTTCTTGAAGAAACCTGCACCCAGCCTTGCCCAGGTAACAACAGCAAAACAGAATTCATACTTTTGGCCATTCCTTACCAGGACCACGGTGAAGGGGTGCATGTGTAAGCCCAAGGTAAGAGATGTCAGCAGTCTTCTCATTCCATTCCTTACCAGGACCACGGTGAAGGGGTGCATGTGTAAGCCCAAGGTAAGAGATGTCGGCAGTCTTCTCATTCAGTAATACCTGTGCAAACAGCTAGAGGCTGTAGTGTGGATCAAGTGGGCACTGCCTCCTTCTTGCCAGCCGGGGGTGAAGTCCAGTTCCACATGAGCCTCTATTGACACTCACCCCCTGAGTTTTAACATCTGCAAAGAATGGCAGAACATATATGTATTCAGGATTTCCAGAAAGAGAGAACGGAGAATGAGAGAGAGGCAGTGTTTATACACATAACACATAGAGAAGGATTTAAGTCATAATGAAAGCTTCTTGTGGGTCCTGGGTACAGTGTACAGTAAATTCACACCTAGATACACTGTAGTGAAGACATAAAATGCAGGAAAATAGAGAATGTATGAAGCATTCAGAAAGAAAAAAGCAGATTACCCACAACTGGAAGACAATCAGAATTATAACAGATATTGTCTTAGTTAGATGGAAGTCAAGAGATAATGGAATATATTCAGAGTGTGATACAAAATAATCAACAACCTAAAATTCTACTGCCAGCTAAATTATCTTTCAAGAGTAAGAAAAAATAATGCTTTGTGAGAAAACTTTCAAAGAAATCATTGTGGCTCAACGTTGGACACAGGAATCTAAGCAAGTGAAATGTGGAAGTATCAAGTGGTGCAGAAATAACTAGCAGGAAGTGATATGTTAATGATGAGGAATTTGGGTTCATGCAGAGCACCCAAAGGCAGATAGAGTCAAAATAATCGCACTGTCAAGCATGACCTTGGGCTTAAGATCAAGGGGTAGCAATATATTTGTGGGCTAGAAAAGAACAAGACTGGGTATAAATTGTCTTTTTACATTTAATTGCTATTATATATTGTAGTATAATTGATTTACAATAATGTGTAAGTATCAGGTGTAAAGCCAAGTGATTCAGTTATGTACATATACACTTTGATATTTTTCCCATATAGATTATTTGAAAATGATGAGTAGATTTCCCTTTATTATAGGGAAATTGGTCCTTGTTATCTGCCTATTTTATAGATAGTAGTGTATATATGTTAATCTCAAACTCCTAATTTATCCCTCCCTCTCACCTTTTTCCTTTGAAAACCACAAGTTTATTTTTGAAGTTTATGAGTCCATGTTTTAGAAATAAGTTCATTTGTGTGGTTTTTTTAGATTCCACATATAAATGATAGCATGCGATATTTGTCTGTCTCTGTCAGACTGACTTAATTTAATACAGTAATCTCCAGGTCCTTCCCTGTTGCTGCAGATGGCATTATTTCATTCTGTTTCATAGCTGAGTAGCATTCCATTGTATGTACGTACATGTTTTTTGTGCATTCTCTCTTCTTGGACATTTAGCTTCCATGTCTTGGCTGTTGTAAACAGTGATGCACTGAACTTTGGGTGGTCATACTTTTCTCTGGACACAGGCCCAAGAGCGGGATTTCCAGACCATACAGTATCTGTGTCTTTAGGTTCTTAAGGAACCTCCGTGCTGTTCTCCACGTGGTTGTTAGCAACTTAGGTTTTCAGCAGCAGCGTAGGAAGGTTCCCTTTTTTTCCAGGCCCTTCCTAGCATTTGCTCTTTGTAGACCTTTTGATGATGGTCATTTTGACAGGTGAGAGGTGATACCTCAGTGTAGATGTGTAGATTTGATTTGCCTTTTTTTTATATATATATTTGTTTGTTTCTGGGTTTCTTTTTTTGTCTGTGCTAGTTCGCTGTTGCCGCATGCAGGCTTTCTCTAGTTGCGGTGTGCGGGCTTCTCATTGCGGTGGCGTCTCTTGTTGTGGAGCTTGGGTCCTAGGTGCCCACGCTTCAGTAGCTGAACATCTCATGAGCTCCAGCTGTGGTGCACAGGCTTAGCTGCTCCCTGGCATGTGGGATCTTCCCAGACCAGGAATCGAACCTGTGCAAGGCACACTCTTAACCTCTGAACCACTAGGGAGGTCCTTAATTTGCTTTTCTCTAACAATAGGCTATAGGTAGGACCTTTGTAGGTGCGTTTTTTCTTTTAAAGAGTATGAGTAAAATTTCCCTGTTGAAATTGACTTTTTGAAAGCCTGCCCTGTTTTGAGTTGTTATTCAATTATGTACCCCAGGCCGTTGTCATAAAGCAGGAGTCACTTACAGCCCTACAGTCCTATTGAGTTTTTAGTGCCGCTGAGCACAAGATTTCAATTTGCTTTTTCTAGAAATGGCCACAAGGCGGCAGCATTTATTCTTTCCAAACTCTGGTCATTGGGGCACCAGAACCTTAGAGAAACTCCTGTTCCTGGGTTGTAAATGACAGTGGAATGTAACAGAAAGAAGACTCAAGGGTTGTGGCTCATTATTTCCTGCCTATGTTCTTCACCCCTTCCTGGACAAATCCCAAACCCTTCACATCTGCCCTGCCGATGGTGCTGTCATCTCTAAGTTGGGCACCTCGAAGGAAGGAAACTGGAGGTAGGAACCCTACCAACAGGAGCTATGGAGACCTGATAACTTTTCAGAGTTCTTCCAGCCCCAAGGGCCCACCATGCTTTGGGTGCAATAGGTATCCCTGTGGAGAGCTGGCCCCTAGACTGGACACTGTGCTTTCATCCAAGGGGACAAACATTCTGGGCCCAGCATGGGCTTATTTGCTGGCACATTGCTATCACCTCCCTCAGCACCGTGGATAGCCCAGTTGGGGGACCCAGGTTGCTCAGGCTCCAGGGTGTAACAGTAGCCAGGGTCACCAAGCCCTACGGGGAATATAGGAGAGAACTCATTTTACTTGTAAAATTAGTACTTATTTTCTGTTGTAGTGTATTTGCATCCCAGGGTTTGTTGTAGGTAGACAGCAACTAGATGCAGATATACATAGATGAGTATCTGGTCTCTTGAGGATGCTTTGCCCTGCTGGGGTATGAGAGTGGTGAGTAGGGTTGTCTGTGGTATACCATACATTGCTCCTTGTTGATGCTCTTTTTTGAGATATTTGAGTGTATATATGCTAATAGAAGATGAGATGGCTGGAAGGCATCACCAGTGCAGTGGACATGAACTTGGGCAAATTTCAGGAGATGGTGAGGGACAGGGAGGCCAGGCGTGCTGCAGTCCATGGGGTCACAAAGAGTCGGACACGACTGGGTGACTGAACAACAGCAATGTCATCTCCAAAGCTTCCCTGGTGGCTCAGTGGTAAAGAATCCGACTGCCAATGCAGGACCCACAGGTTCAGTCCCTGAGTCAGGAAGACCCCCTGGAGTAGGAAATGACAACCCACTCCAGTATTCTTGCCTGGGAAATCCCATGGACAGAGGAGCCCGGTGGGCTCCATGAGGTCTCCAGACTGCGACACCACTTAGCTATTAAATCACCACCACCACATGTTAATCCCAACGTCCTGATTTAAGCCCACCCCTGCTCTTCCCCCAACAAAATCCTAGGTGCATTTTCTAAGACTATGACTCTTTGTCTTCTGTAAATGAATTCCCTTGTCTCCATTTTTAGATTTCATCTAAAAGTGATACTGTCAGATATTTGTCTTCCTCTATCAGATGTCCTTCACCTAGAATGATCGTCAGTAAGTCCTATGTTCCTGCAAATGGTATTAGTTTCTTCATTGAGATGGCTGAGTGACATTCCCTTGTATATAAGTACATCTTTTTCCGTTCATCTCTGGAAGGACATGGGATTGCTTCACGTCTTAGCTATTGTAAATGGTGCTTCAGTTAACATTGGGGTGGTTTGATTTTCCCAGTTACCTGGGACATTTTTCCAGTTATACTGAAACCCCAACAAACAGTGGGGTTTGCTTTCTTCAGTTATACTTTTCTCCAGATACACACCCAGGAGTGGGATTTCCGGACCATAATGTATCTGTGTCTTTAGGGTCTCAGGGAAACTCCATGCTGTCCTCCACAGTGGCTGTTAGCAATTTTTGTTTTCAGCAGCAGTGCAGAAGGGTTCCCTTTTCTGCAGCCCCTCTCCAGCGCTTACTGTTTGTAGACTTTTTGATGATAGCCATTCTGACAGATGAGAGGTGGTACTTCTGTGGAGATATTTGCTTTGTCTGACAGTGGGCGCTGGTAAGGATCTTTGTCGGTGCTTTTTTCCTTTAAGAGTGTGAGTAAAATTTACCTGTTGAAATGGGCTCCTTGAATGCCTGCCCTGTTTCGAATTGTGACATGATTATTTCTTGAGGGCAGGAGGCATTCACAGCCCCAGAGGCCTTGTGAATTTTAAGAGCCCCTGCCCAGTTTTTAAAGTTGTTGTTCCTGGAAACGGCCACGAGGCGGCAGCACCTCTTCTTTCCCGCTCTCTGGTTATTGGGGCACCAGAGTCAGAGAAGATTGTGTCCTGGGTTGTAAGTCAGAGTGGAATGTGCCAGAACAATGACCCAAGGGCCTGTGTGTTATTGCTTCTTGCCCATCATTCTTCACCCGCAATCTGGACAAATCCCAAACTTCAATTCTGCCCTTCTGAAGGCGCTGTCATCTTTAAGTCAGGCTGCTCTAAGGATGGAATCTGGAGGTAAGAACCCGACCACTGGGAGCCCTAGGAACCAGGTGACTTTACAGAGCTCTTCCAGCCCAGAAGGTCCAACCTCCTCTGGGTGCCTCAGCTTGGTGTGGCTGTGGAGGGCCGGCCCGGGTCCCGAGATTCTGCTTCCACCCAGAGGGAGCAAACACTACAGGCCCTAGGCGCACTCACTTGTTGGCATATCCAAGGACCGTCCAGCCTTTCACCCAAGGCTGATCAGACTCCAGGGGTGTGGCAGCAGCCCGGCTCACAGAGGCCTGAGAGGAATACAGGGGGCCATTCATTTTATTTGTCAAATTAAAAATTTTATTTGAAATATAGTTGATTTCCAATGTTGAGTTTGTTG